AAGAGACAGATGTGTTGTATAAACGGTTGCATTTATCTTTCCTTGCTTTCTGAAATTTGAAAGAAAGCCAACTCCCTGGGTGAACATGCCAGGTTTTCCCCCTCTTCCTTATTAATTTCAGTAGTTAAAAGCTGGCCAAAGAAGTAGAACTCCCACAGTCTGTATGATTTTGTTTATATATTTTTACTCCTACGCTCAACTTGCTCCTTCAGAGAAAGTTCCCATGTCGTCTTCTCTGCATGCAGCTTACTTAGGAGCTGACTTATTGTGGTTTCAGCAGTTAGATTCTTTGTGTAACATGAAGATAATCATGGTGAGCTGATGAAGCCTGTGACTGCTAACCATTAACTATCCAGTTCTTGCTGACTATATCTGCATGCTGGTTGCTCTCTTAGCCATTCAAGGTTAATATTTGTTCTCAGCATCCTTTTGTAAAGGGTGCTTGCTACAAGCCACGGTTTGACATTTGTAATGGAACACATGCTTGCACACACAAGTAGGGATGTGGTAGATTGGCTCCTCTGTTTCCCTCAAGCAGTGTTTTTAAGCCCACCCCTATAATAACTACTGTGACACTTTATCAGAATAACAGAGTTAAAAGGGACTTTGGAGGTCTTCTATTCTAACACCCTGCACAAGCAGGAGACACTATATACCCATGATGGCGAACCTATGGCACGTGTGCCAGAAGTGGCACGCAGAGCCATCTCTGCTGGCACACAAGCTGTTGCCCCGGATCAGGTCCACTGCGCATGCGCACTCGCCTCCCACCAGCCAGCTGATCATCAGGTATGTGCTGTGCATGCGTGTGGGGGTGGGTCGCATGTGGGAGATGCGTGCACGTGCACAGAGGCACATGGGGGGCGCGTGTGCATGTGCAGGGAGGCAGAGGGATCACGCACACATGCGTGTGGGGGGGGGTTGCGTGCGCATTGCATTATGGGTGCAGGCACGCGATGACAAAAAGGTTAGCCATCACTGCCCTATACCATTCCAGACCAGTGACTGTCCAGTCTCTTCTTAAAAGCCTCCAGTGATGGGGCACCCACAACCTCTGAAAGCAAGCCGATCCACTGGTTAATTGTTCTCACTGTTAGGAAATTTCTCCTTAGTTCTTGGTTGATTTCTCTCCTTGATTAGTTTCAATCCATTGTTTCTTGTCTTGCCTTCTGGTGCTTTGGAAAATAGGTTGACCGCCTCCTCTTTGTGGCGGCCGCTCCACTATTGAAACACTGCTGTCATGTCACCCCCTGGTCCTTCTTTTCATAGATTAGATAAACCCAATTCCTGCAACCGTTCTTCAAACGTTTCAGCCTCCCGCCCCCTAATCACTTTCTTAGAGTGTTGTGAGAGAGGATCTGTTTGGGAAGTGATACCATCTTTGCAGAGAAAATGCCCCTTTGAACCATTATTCTAGAGGAAGGGAAATTTTCCATATTGTAGACTGTGACTGGGGAATTCCGGGAATTGGAATCCACGTATCTTAAAGCTGCTAAGATGAACAAACGCCACTCTAGACTCTCTGAAACTAGCAGGATGGCCGGGATGTATGGTAGGCTCCTTTTCATTATGAGGATGCTGGTTCCATGCTGCAAAGTAAGATTGGGAGTTGACTGAAAATGGAAGGCTGTGGGAGAAAAGGAAATGAAAAGCTCATGATTCATGTACACTTTAACCTTCCAGGAGTGAAAACATATCTAAATATACTCATCATAAAGATAAAACAAAGACTGAGAATGCCAAGAAATAGCTCAAATCAACCCATACGTTCAATTTTTTTTTTTTTTTAAAAAAAAGATCTTAATTCTTATGTAGCCCCATTTTTTCCTTTAGATGCCTATTTTCTTCTGGTTCTCCAACTTTTGTCTATCTTGGACTTCATTTCTGACTTGATAGAAGTCAATATAGGAAGCCAGCTATTTGGTTATGATAGAAGGGAAAAAGAACAAAGACCAAAATTTAGCAGCCCCCACCCAATTTAAAAACTCACCTGAAAGAGAGAAATGCCTTAGTGAAGGGGAGTCAAACTCGTGGGCTGGATGCGTCATGCCCTGGACACACCCACCCTTGATTTAGTGAAGGGGGGAAAACTTGCAATATGTCATGTGACAACCTGTCATTGCGAGTTTGATACCCCTGCCTTAGTGCTTCTGATTAGTCACTCTGGTGTTGAGTTTTCTGAGCTTTCCTTCTGCTCACTATCTAGAGTGGCGGGTTTAGTTTTGATTGATTAACTCTTGAGGTACCTTCTTTCCCTTTAATATTTTCTGCTTGTCACATAAATAAAACACAGAAAGAAAAAGCAGTGATTCTTGTATTGATCTAAGGGCATTCTGTTTCTGCTGTCAACTATTAGAGATCTGAAATATACTTATGCATGTGGAAGGCATGGAAGGCTGAAGCAAAGAAGGCAAGATACAATAAATGCAGACATGAAAAATGTCCAGTTGGACCCAAATGCTGCCTCTGATCTTGCAAAATGGTGCTTGTTGACCCAAAAAACAGACCCCCCCCTGCACTTATGGGAAAAACATTGTGATGATGATGAAAATATTACTACATATGTCTGTAATAACAAGTGGAGCTTGAAATCGTTTCCCCTTGAGTCTTATGTTCATTTTGGTTTCTTTCACACCTCCCTGTTTTCAAATCGAATAAATTTATCCGAAAACCGTATTTCTGTAATTGAACATCCAGGCTTTTCATTTTCTTCCTTTCTTCTGGTTTTGGACTAACCTTGATGCCCTATATAGCTGATAAACCAAAAAATCAAGAACCACATGGATTTCACAAGCATTTTTAAAGCTAATCTTGGCTACAACTAAAAACTATAAGGATAAATCCTCAGCCAGAATTACAATGAATTAATTGAGGCAAGTTTCCCCCCACCCCATGGCTCCCATACCTGGACTATGTTGCCTCTTTTCACATAAATTCTTCTGATCCTTTCTGAATTTCTTATGTACACAAGAGCAAAGGAGAAGAACTCAAGACACAAGTGTGGCACTGCCTGTAAACTAACAGCGACTCGTAGGACAACATCAAGTCCCAGTTATTACATCATTCCTTTAATGCATTTGCTAAAGATAGTCCCCAAAGTTCCATTAAACTTTTTCAGCAAGGCCATTTGTCTCATGATTGTAAGCAACAGATACCAGGTACCCAACCCCGTGTCCAATCTATACTTTTGTCATTATTCCTGACAGTAAATGTGTGCCAGCTTCTAGAAGAACCTCAGTTGGCTAGTCTGTTTCAGAACTCTGAAGAGCTGACTTAGAGGTTTGGCAACAATTTAATTCAAGGCCACTTCCTCTGGCCCCAATTCCCTCTTCCCATAAAAAAACTTTTAAAATCAATAAATCCTGAAATCAGCAGTTCATTTTTATCCGTTTTCAGCATAAAGTCTATAAAGGATTTCCAGGTTCTTTTTTTTTTATAAAAGTAATTGTACTTCTCTCCTTGATCAAACTAGTCAATTTAACCATTTCTGCAAACTCAGCTATCTTCACAATCCTTTCTTCCATTACTGGTATTTCTGCAGACTTCCATCTTTGTGCTCATAATATCCTCTCTGCAGTTACC